ATCGCTGTCTTAATCGACGTGTCGATCACATGCCGTACTGAAAAATGATCAAGGTCAGTTTCATACAGTGGTAGATACCAGTAAGAACTAGCGGCTTATCACGAGTAAATGTCTCTAAAGACTTAAGACTTTTGCGGTGCCCGGGTTCGTTAAATTGTTTTGTACTGATTAATTTTAGGTAACATGTTAAGTGGCCTGTTTACACTAAAGAGGGAGTTGGGTGCATATCCTCGCTATCAGGTTGCCACTCTGGCACATTTCATTAGCAAGGTCACAAAGTGATGTCCAACGAAATTGGGAGATCTCATTATTCAATTTCCTCCAGTTTTCATGTTCCGCGGCGAAGTTTCAGGTACAACCTATCTCACAATTCAGCTACTCTTGACAGCGATCTGGGAGCCATTAAGCAACCCTCGACTGTTTGCACGTTTCCAAAAGCGGTGGAGGCAATGCTGAGTAACGCCCAGACGTATTGGGAAATCTCAACGCACCAAGCCATATGATCAAGTTGGACGGTGACGTCATAAGCGAGGTCGTCTGGTGTAGAGACGCTTGTGACCACGTAGACCTTGGATGGGTGCACGCCCAAGTACTTATGTGGTGCAACAGTGCTGTGATAGCCTCACTGTTCATTTACTTCCAGCTTGACCAATGAAAAACTAGTTAAGAATTACATAATCCTTACACCAATGCCTTTGCTTAAGTGGAGTTTGATGCGAGAGTAGTTAGCTAGGGGCAACAACATCCAAAAGTTATGCTCTAGGATGATTTGTGAACTCTATGGTACCAGAGAGGCTGGTGATGAATGGATTTGTCATCACTGATACTGGTGCTATTTTTAGCACCAGCCTTGAAATTATTCCGAGCCAAGGTGTAAATAGTCATCTGAAATAAGAGGTGCGCTAATCCATCAGTAGGACTTTTGCTGTGTAATCCAAAAAAAAAAAACTTCACCTACAAAAAGCCTCTGCAATGCTAGAGACTGGCTTTGCAACCAACATTGGTGGAATAAGTACCCACGGAAACGCCCAGAATCTAATCTAATCCTGATGCTATCCTATGTAGGCACTGAAAAGGCGCTCCAGTTATGAAATAGTCAGTGGTGCCGGTACGCCTACTTTCTGATAATGGCTAGGTAAAGCCGCATTTACTCTCACTTCCTAAAAGTATTTTCTCTCACAGGACACTTCAAATATTCAAATTACACCATTCAATACAAAAAATTAGCTCAAGTCGACCACTTTAAAACGCAAGCCAGCTCTCCTCCTGCGAATCAAAGGCGAATGATTGTATTTGCATTTCTCACCTGGTGAAGCGCACGCTGCGAGCAAACGCAGAAGCCTCGAGACATGCTCCAGTCCACATGAGATTTCGGCCAAAGTGAGCTACCCTGCGGTTCTGTCGTAGGTCAGACTCCAACCCAACGACGGCTTCGACCTTTGCACGCGCACCAACCAGTGCATGAGTGAAGGCCCTCACACAAATATCAGCACTCTTGTCTTGCTTCACCACGAGGCTGACTGCGCACCAACTGGGCTCAGGCACTGCCGAGGCTGAAAAATCAACCCTGGTCATCACCCAAGCATCTCGCTGTTGGTTTACACACATTTTCATCCGTTCAGATGAAAACACCAGAGCCGACCCTTACAATTCACCTAAGTCGACTTTTACAATTCGTTGTATCTCCAGCCAGCGATGACTTGCATGGCACCCCAGCATAACGAGCAGGACGGACTGTCTGAAGTTAGGAAAAACAGGAGAGACGAGGCGAAGTCGGCAATCAAAAGACCACCTGAGGACGTAGTCCGTCCAAAGACAACAAACGCGAATAGCCCCGGCGCAGTGAAAAGACGGTCACCTTGCTCAAATGTCGCAAATTTATAGTGGTACATAGGCGAACGCACACACGAAAAGGGAGACATGGTCAAACCGGTGGGAGGTGAATGGGGAGCAGGAAGGCAGAGAAACGGTTCTGCATAAAATGAGTATGCACACACACACACAAACATTCTTATCGAACGCGCGTACGTGTGAATGTGGTAAAATAGACGCTAAAAAGCGTACCTTGAAGCTGATTTGGCCTGTTTTTCTTTGAGAGATAGATAGAGAGCAAGGAAGAAAGGCTGTGGGTGCGCACGGCACAAAAATAACTCTGTGAATGTATGCTCAAATTCAGCAGTTAAACGTAATATACACGCGCGCGCAAGAGAGCGTGCCTGCGTACTAGAGAGCAAGTCCTCAACGCAAGGCTATCCAAACGATGAAAAGGAGATGTGAGACAAAGAATAGGGTTTCGGGGATACCAGCGCCCTCAAAGATGAGTTAAAAGTGGTGAGGGTGGTAGTGGTTGGGAAATGCTCAGTGTGACAATTTCAGGGAGCAGGGAGAGCGGAAAACAAGAGGATCTCGGTATGTACATTCAAATAAGCCCAGCATGATCAGGAGTGATGAGGCGGCGGCTGTGTTGAGAGCACCAGAGAGGAGGGACCACCAGACCCGAAAATCCCCAAAGCGGCGTTTGGGATGTAGCCAGCACTGGTTCCGCTAGCCCCAGCTTGGGACTGGTTAGCACCGGACGCTTGCTGTTGACCCCCAGACAATGCCTGGGCAACTAAATTGTTGGTTGACGGAGGAATACCTGTCGGACCGGGGAGGGATCCAACATCCACACTGTGTCTACAAGCAAAAGGGGCGGCAGATATAGAATGAACGTCGTGGTAGAAACTGATAAGCAGCCCGAGGAAGTTTCAGCACAATGGCAGGATAGAGAAACTTTGTTAGTTACAGCATTACATTTAACCTACATATGTAAATCCTAGGAATTAAGTTCCCACTGATATAAAGTAGACATGGAGAAGCTTTAAAATAGCTGGACGAAGGACTCACTTAAGTTGTGCTTTGGGCTTGAGGTAATCATCATTGTACAGCTGGAACACATTCGGCCTGAGTTCTTTTTGGTAGGTACAGCATTTTCGGATGAACTCCTGTGAATCACAACAAAAAGGTCACAGCTGCTCCTCCGATTAATGTGTACAAAGTCTGACTATTGACTGGTTAGCATGCCATCAGTATAGCGTCACACAAATTCTTAAGCACAACTAGACTCAAAAGGTACACGAAAAATCCACGATGGCAGATAGTGATTGGTATAGGGTGAGGCGTGACAGCATGAGTGAGTGTCTGTTAACAATAAACCATTCAACACCACTCGCGAAGCACAACTACCCCACAAGTGGGAAACAAAAATCCAGTTCTGATGCGTCAATACTAACGGTGCCCACCTCGTAATGGAAAGTGAGCTGAGCAACTGCAACAACTTACCTGTTCGGGTGTGGACAGAATAAATAAGGGGAGGAAACCTACCTTTGCTCCATCACTGACTTTTGGTGTGGAGGGAAACGCAATTGAGCGAGCATGAAGGATGGTGTTCTGGTGCAGAATGTCCGCTTGCGACATATTGTGGCCGAAAGGCTGAAAGTTGGTGAAGCAGGTTAATGAAACAAGGATTATGGTAAGGAAACACCAGAAATTTACACCAAATATTCCCACGCTTGTGAGAAAAGCGGAAAACACTGCCTCTCAAACCAGCTAGGTGTAATTGTGTGTTGTGACTAAGCAGAATCAAGATTGGAAAAATAATCTCTGGTGAACAGACGTAAAAGTCACTCGCGATCACATAGATATGGCTTTTTAGAATGCTTATAAAGCAGGTGGACTGTGGGCATTGACCGAAATGCGAATATGCTCAGTTTGGAACGGACTGTGGAAAGAACAAGACATGTGTGCACTGTCACCATGAGAAGGACCGCAAAATAGTGAGCTAGATACAAATTGCCAGATGTCAGCGTCCACAGCAGTTTTGTGGTATGTAAGACCAGGCTGAATAGTCACGTGACGCAGCGTGAATGGAAGTACAAACAGGATGAGCTGAGTTCAGGCGTAAAGTTCATCTAGCAACGTTACACCCCAAGTCACGTCTGAAAGACGCCCAACAGCCAGCTTGGAGCACAAAAACTGGCGCCTCGAAAAGCGAAAATCCCGGTTGGACACTAAACAGCAACCCAAGCGGGCAGTTCAGGCGAACGTCACAAGAGCCCCAATTCCATCAGTGGTCAACATATAGTGCACTTTTTTGCTTATCCGTTAAGGGCACAAAATTTCACATTCACCAACGGCATGTCTTCACAGGTCAAGGAAATAGGAAGAGGCGTTTTGTTTGTAGGTCATTGTAAAAAATGCATGAATCCGGTTATCCACCTCATTTGAATTACTTTTGAAAAGTCCACGTCGTTTTCACAATTGGATTTGTATAAGTGAATGGAACTTATTACAAACCTTTTTTCCGAAGAGGCACTGGAAGAAGATGATGCCCACAGACCAGATGTCCACCTTGGAGGAAATTTTGGGAGGTTCGTGGCCAGTTTCAAAGCACTCGGGAGGAAGATACCAATAGGTACCAGCGCCTTGTGAGGTTAGGTCCATACCGGTATCAGGGTTGTACAAATCCTCTGTCATCAGCTTGCTCAGACCAAAATCGGTTATCTTTATCTCGCCAGACAGTTCGCCCGAACCAAGTAGAATATTGCCTGTAGAACAAGAGCGCGAAGATAAAGTGTCAAGCATGAAAGTATTACACCCTTTGGCTTCTACCTTGAAAAGTTCTAATTCAATACCGCAATTGTCTATGAATTATTTGAAGGCTATTTCGGTAAGTTGTCAGCAAAAGCTTGATAGGAGCGTAGACTTGGACAAAAAACAGGAGCATAGTTAAGGATCACACGCACCTGGTTTCAAGTCATAATGGATGACGGGGGGTTTTCGTTGATTCAAATACTTGAGAGCGGAAATGACCTGACAAATTATCGACTTCGCCTCACGCTCCGGTATCACTTTGTTTTGTTTCAGGAAGAAATCCAAGTCGTTACCTTCACAGTACTCCTGAATAGTGCAGAACCTGAAACCAACACATCGACTGTCACCAACCCGGGCACATGCGCAGGCACGAGGAAAGATTTAGGCGAAAGCCAAGTGATGGCCTTTATTGGCGCACCAACGAACACACACACACACACAACTGTAGATTTACGGGGTGTGGAATACACGGGACAAATGAGAGCTAGCACCACATCATTCTCCTTACGCCCATCCGCGGCACAGTAAGCCCCAAACGAGGAGATATGTACGTCACAGAACACAAATAAAAGGTTCCTAGATGGGATAAGACTTACGCGTCGTGGTCAATATCAAAGACATCGAACACCTTGACTATCCGCTGGTGGTTGAGAGTCTTGTGTATTTCAATTTCACGGAGGGCATGCCTACAAATCAAGGTATACAAATGAGCGACGGTTCAACTTAATAATGAGGTTGCATTAACCCCCGGGGGTACATGGTTCATAACACGAATGCGCTGGTAAACACCGTTTTCAGGAACAAGCAATGTGCAACTTTTCAAATAACTAAATAACCAAGGCATAGTTAATAGCTTCGCAACTTTAGACAGATTGAAGAATTAGTAATAACATAAAATAACTGAGAAACACACTCACTTTATGTAGTTATCCTTCTTGTCTTTAGGCCAAGCCGGATTAAGTTGATGTATTTTGCAAGCAACATAGCGGTTCTCTTGCAGGTCAAAACCCTGTAAAAACAACGAAACAAGCATATGCTTTTAACAACATGATTTGACATACCATCAATGTAGGGCAATAATCAACATTCAGCAGAATGGAATAGCAACGGTTGGATCACAAAAAAAATGAACCACAGACCGTAACGCACCTTGTGAACTTCTGAAAACCCGCCCTTGCCAAGCAGGTTCAACAGCAAGTAGCGTTCATTTAATAGGGGATGGTCCTTAAACCGTGATGCATCCTCGTTGGCTATTCGTTTGATTTCACGAATATGCAAGTTCCGCTCCCTGTCAAGACGCTCAAGCTCACTTTGGATCTCCTTGTCTTCCTTTGCTAACATCTGCTTTCGGAGATCATATATCTCTATTTGTTCGTAAAACGCATCTACTGAAACCCTGACAAATAAATAACAGCAAACGTTGAATTTCCATGGGCGCAGCATTTATATTAGCCGGTCCATTTAAAAAATGAAAACTTATAAACATTAGGACGGTGAGACTAAAACAGACTACTTTCCTTTCATTTATCACTGATTTAGCAAGTTTCATTTGCCCAAAAAAGGTACCGAGAAATTGGGAATCTGATTTGCTCGAGTGCGATTCCGGAAATAAAAAATATATTAAGCTACCTAAGTACGCATTACTAGCCTTGACCATAAACGAAATTCTTTTCACAGAAAGCAGTGGTATCCAGAGCGTTAACACACAAGGCTTGCCTAAAATGCACCCCGAACTCGATGTCCGGACAGGACTGCTTAAAAAACCCACTCCCTTGGGTGATGAGCCAGAGGTGATGCATACGTGGAGGACGGGGCTTGTCGCCCAATCCGAAAATGGACCTAGTGTGACGCGCCATAGTATAACGAACGGTAAATTTAAATTGGCATGACCTCTTGACCTTCCGCGCGTTGCAAGTTAAGCAGCTGAGTATCGAGACCATTCACATAAGGTTATGGTATCATCTGAATTTGTATATACACAAGTACAAAATTAGGGACCCAGACCAATATATTAGTCATTAAAACTCACTCCTCCCAACGGGCTTTGCTATTTTTTTTGTTCTCAGATCCTGGTTTCCGTTTGTTCCATTGCTTCCGTTTCCTTTCAATTTCCTCTCGAATGCCTTCAATACTTTTCCGACGACTGAATGATACAAACGAGATGATTAAAATAAGGTGATCAAGCATTTAAAGTAGATGCGACATAAAGTTCAAAGAACACCCACACACTGAGGTCATAGGAAAGCCCCAATGTGGTATGAAACTTACGCATCGAGTTCCTTAAATCGATACCCCTCAACCCACTTCTCTTCGAAGTGAACACCCTGTCGCTGAGTGAGGAATTGACCAAGTCGTAATCGGTCATCCATTACCTTTTGTCGAGTGGTCTTTCGCTCCAGGAGACTCTGCAAAAAACATTAGGCGCTACACAACAACGCATTCAGCATTTGGTAGAACAATGTGCAAGCACTTAAATGCTGACCGCTGCACGACACCTAACTTTCAGTCATGTGAATGGGTGCAGATGAAGATGATTGCATTACTTGTAACAGGCAAATATTAAGGTAAAGCATTTTATCTGCGCGTACATTCGAAAGATTAGTTACCTACAAATCTAAAAATAAAACGCCACTAAAGATACAGCAATGCATGAAATATACCTTTTCAATGAGGAGATCTTGGATGATTTGTCGTGATTTGAGACTATGCTCATTAGCAAGTGCGATAGTCTGTTTTTGAGCGCTGTTCTCCAACTCGAGCTCCGAAATCCGCCGTTGCAAACTCTCAACGAGATTGATGGATGACCCCGAGATAGTAGCGCCCTGATGAAGCGGGGCTGTGGAAGTTAACACAGCGGGAGCAGATGAGGTGCCAGTGTCTGGATCGGTCTGCACAGAGGCGCTGCAGCAGATCACACTGACGCCAGGAGCGGGACCATTTTGCGGAATGGCTTCGCTCGAGCTATCGCTCGGACTCGTAACACAACTGTTGCTTCCACCGCGGCCAGGGGATAGTATTTGTCGAGGTGCGGATACAACCGTATCGGATTTAGCATTATGTTCATTTTGGGGTTCTTCAATGCTCTGCGCAAGCAAACCAGTTTGGGGAGTCTAAATGGGGGAAAAAGTTTGTCACAAGCCACAAACCAAAAAATCCGACTTTTTAATTATAAAACAACTATGTGTGTAGACTCATAAAACCGGAAGTAATGGACCAAGTGTTCATTTACCTTAAAGATCTCATCGATCCGTTTACTACCTCTGTTGGTGGAACGCTTAGGTTGTGGAACCCCCGGCTCATCGAAGAGGACGCCTTTTCGCTTCCGACGTATGCTGCCACGAGGTGTGGGGGGTTGAACGGTCTGAGGCGCATTCGGCGAACTCAATATGCTACACCGTTGAGGACTCACAAACTGCAATGATGATGATGCTACGGGGGCGCCGGAGAGGTTTCTAGCCTTTTTGGGAGATGTGGTAACAACCGCGGGGGAGTCATTTGGAGGTAGCATGGGGATGGATTGACATCCAATATCAAAAGAGAGAGATTGATTAGAAAGTGCACTACTGGTGGAATAAGGAACAATGTTGGTTTGACGACTAGTGCCATGGAGTGGGGGAACATAAGCAGCAACGTTCTGCGGATGACTTTGAAGGCCAACGACACCTTTATTGGAGTTACCGTCTCCGCTAAGACTGCTGACACTGCGGCTGTTTTCTTCAGCATGATTACTGGGAGGTTGTACAGTCACTTCGACCTGCTGACTGGAGGAAGGGAGAGAGTCAAGAGCCCTACAGGGGTTAGAACCAGGGTTTTCAGGCCTTATCGTGCATTGGTCATCGCTTTGACTAATTAAAGGAAAATTCATATATTCCGGATTGGCTGTCGTCTGGAATGGATTTGGAAGAGTAGAATTAACAACATTAGCTACAGTGGCTGGATTGGGATGTCCATCATGAGGTTTTGTCAACGATGTGGTGCAGTGAGCTGATATCACGTTGGGAATCGGTATGTCCATAGAGGCAACATCACCGGTATTTTGTACGGAGTCGTAAGAAGTACCATATTTAAATCGATCATCTGTTGAGAGCTGGTTGGAATTGGCATCCGGTGACTTTCCCGTTTGCGTCACAACGTTAGGACTCCGTGTGCCCTGAATTCTGGCTTCCAAAAGTTCGCGTTTCAATGGGTCAACATGGAGCGCCATTGACAAAATCTTTGACGATAAAAAGGAAAAATCTCAATAATTTCAAATCTGAAAACAGTAACTTGTACAGAAGAGCCGTGATGAGTCAAAATTAGGTTTGCATCCCCTTGGATGAAATGCGAGGCGTTGACCGATATCAGCACAAAATTCTATTCCCCGACGAGATCGAAAATTATCAACAGAAGTAAAGAGCGTCGCAATTGGCCACAAAGAACCAACCAATAAAGTCCATAAATTCCAACGTCAAAATTAGCCGGGTCTTTTGACCCCCTTAGGGTAATTAAAACAATTGAATTTGCAACATGTCAAGCAGGGCCACTTCCAGATTTTTTAATGCAGCAAAAAATATAGATACATGTATAAAAAAATACCTTGAAATGAAATTTGGGTTTTAAGCTTTGTTGGTAAAAAATTTTGTTCCTGTTCCTCAAATATTTCAGATTCTAGGCCTGTAATAACATTTTTTCAATTTTACTATCATGGTAAGCTAGCAGTTTGCAGTCTGTCTTTTAGATAAGGTGTCGTTTGTCAAATGCAACTGAAACCAACCAGCTTTAAGAAAGGATTTACTAGTAAACTGTGTACAATCGTCTAAAACCATAATTTTTACAAACAGAGACACTGTTTCTAATTTAATAATTAAAATGCAGATTTCCTTGTGCCATGAATTTGTTTTTGCGAACCACTAAATTATTCCTTAAACTTATTGTGTCACCCTGCGACTTCCCTAAGACGAAAGAAGACATAACTCTGGGACAGAATACATTTTCGGCACCCGGGAGGATTTGCGGGTACCGGCATAGCCC